CGGAGGAACAAGAAGTTTCTTTATGTTTTCCTTGGGAGTGTGGTTGGTGTAGATTCATGAAGATTCGTTTTGGGTGTTTGAGCATTATGCGTGACTCGGTGCCGTGATGGAATGACGAGCTCAAGCACGCCCCCGATTGCAACAACACGGATACAACACGGATAAAACACGTTTTCCAACACGTCTGCACGACGTTACCTACCCCTACGGCCCGTAATGGCCGAGCTGCTCTACACTCCCATCGCACACAACTGAGCCACCAGAATAATCGATCAGATACAGCGGCGTCGAGCCATATGGTAGACGCCGTATCCCGCATGTCCAAGCGTGTGTTCGACCCAGTGGACTGCGCCGTGCGTATCATCGGGTCGTGCTGAACATCTAGAGCTACCCAGAAAGGCACCCTGAAGTTTGGAATTCGTAGTGAGCAAGACAACCTTGTGACGATGGCACTGGACGTCCTCCTGGGTCGTAATCTAGGAGCGAATATTCTGTCGGTTGGAGCGTTGGCCGAAAAGGGGGTTAAGTGCGATTTGATGTCTATCCCTCCGGCGCTCCGACGCGGCGACCAGGCCTTTCCGATATCAATCGCTGTGCCTCGCATGTACGTGATAAACGTCATCATTGACGATCTCAACATGGACGATGTAGAAGTGTATCGCACCAAGGTCGACGCTCACCTGTGGCACCGGAGGATGGGCCACTGCAATCCGCGTGCACTGCAGCAGCTGGCGGAAATGGATACCGCTGGAGTACAGTTCCATCACAACATCGAGTCAGGTGACTGCAGCGTATGCGCGGTCGGGGATAGCAAGAAGGGCAGTCACCCTCCATCTGATCACCCCCACTCTGAAACCCGGCTAGAGATTATGTGCGCCGACGTGTGGGGGAAGCACCCCATCAAGTCGTTTGGGGGCTGCCAGAGTACCGTGATGTTCACTGACGTGTTTTCTCGCATGAGGTTCGGCTTCCCAATCACGACAAAAGACGAAACGGCGGAGTCTCTCCACAAATTTGTCCGGGAGGTAGCCGACCCGATCGGGCAAAGCATCGGCACAATGCACTGCGATGGTGCAGGAGAATTCCAGGACAGATTCCTGGAGCTGTGCAAGTCCCTCGGAATTACGGTCAAAACTAGCGCTCCATACACTCCACAGCAGAACTCCATCGCAGAACGTGGATTTGGCAACATCATCGGAACTACTCGCAAACTAATGCTGGGCGCACCGCACCTTCCCAGCGAGCTGTGGGCTGAAGCATTCCAGACCGCCATCTATCTCAAGAATCGCACACCAACTGAAGTCCTGGGCGGCAAATCCCCACTCGAGGTATGGGAGGGTACGCGGCTAGGTAATCTGCTGCACATTCACGAATGGGGTTCGATGGCCTTCAAACACAAGGAAGCGCGTTTCCGTCCCAACAAGCTTGCGGCCAGGGCCAAGACGATGTATCTGGAAGGCTTTAATACCAAGGGTAGGTCGTACAGACTGTGGGATCCTGCGGAGNACGACGATAGCGATGAAGAAGAAGACCAAAGTACTGCAGAGTCGACACCATCTGTTCCAGAACCACGACGGAGCGCCAGGGCATCTGCACCGCCGCAAAGGTTGAATCTATTTACGGTGACCTCGGAGGAGGATGCTTATCAGCAGGTGGAACAAGCTCTTCTGACAGGGGGTGTACTCGGAAACGTCGGGACGGGCAACCCTGGAGAAATAGGTTACAGGCCTCCCGACCCGACCAACTACGACGACGCAACACGTGGACTAGATGCTGACCACTGGAGGGAGAGTATGCTCGAAGAAAATCGTTCGCTCACGGAACTCGACAGATACGATTGGGTGAAACGGCCGGCGGACGGTGATATACTTACGTCAAGATACCTATACAAACGGGAGTACGCAGCAGACGGAGAACTAGCTCGACTGAAGAGTCGTATCGTGGTCCA